AAACCCTAAACCCTAAACCCTAAACCCTAATAACCCTAAACCCTAAAACCCTAATACTAATTGCTCGCCTACTTCGACAATCAGAGGCTTTGGTATGAGCTTTTTCATGCCGGCCTTACCGATAGTTCTCCCAAATGGCTTCGTGAAGTGATCAGAGATGACGTAAACTTTAACGAAGTGATGGAAGTCTTGGTCAGATACTGTTTCCTGGAAAATCACCAGACGTCAGATTCATGGAACATGCATAATTGCGTGCACGAGTGGTCTTTCGCAGTGCTTAACAAAGAAATCGACGCAAAGTATTATTGGTATGCTTTTGACTGCGTGTCCGCGTCTATAAATGATGATAACGCGGATGATCTTGCAAAGCTCTCTTACTCCCCATTGGCTGTTCATGCCACGCGGCTAGTACAACAGCGCTTTTGCCAGAACGACTTCATATATGATATTGCGCCTCAACGACTCAACGAAGCTTCAGTTATCGCGAGTCTACTTCTGAACCAAGAGTTTCTTCTTGCTGCGGAGCAAATGTACCAGCGGACTCTATCTGGAAAGGAGAAAGCGCTCGGAGCAGACCACACATCGACCCTCAACACTATCAAAAATTTTGGGATTCTATATTCGAAACAAGACAAGCTAGACAAGGCGGAACAGATGCGAAGAGAAAGATGTGGGAAGACTAAAGTATGTAATCAACGTCGACTTCAACAAAGTCACAAATACAGTGCCCAGATCCTGCAATTCCTCAAAGATGAGTTCAGGTAGTGTCTCTCTTAAGTCATTGGGCTCAATATTTTGCCAGTACAATATTTTCCGTAATAAGAGCAAGATACGGTCAGGACATTCCAATGCTTCCCAGAATCTTATGCGACAAAGTTTTTTTCCCCTTTGGATGACTACTTCCAAGACTTGATCATATGGCAACTGGCCTTTCTGTCAGAAAAAAAACACCCAGACCTCACCATGAAGTGACCCTTCGTTCTCCATAAACCGATCCGTGGCTCGAATTTCCTTTTTGTTGCAATGGTTGCCTCTGTTGGTTGTGATTGGCTAGGAATGATTGGGCTGGCTATAATCTCCGAACGAAAGCCTAATCCCACGAGGTACGCCTTCGTTCAAGGGAATACTCTACCCAAGCACATCCTCGGTAAGGAAACATGGATTCATCTTTCCGTCCCACCTCGAGTGTCCCACCACAGTTGCCTCCTGACACTTCCCCACACCTCTGTCGGGTGCTGGCTTATACTGCTTAATCTGTCGGTTGCATTTAGGAAATCAAGATCATACTGCCTTCTTTGAGACTCTCCGTCGTATCCCCGAATCTGTGGAAAGAAGTTCGCGCCATACTGAAGAAATAAATTGTGTCATTATCGGCAATGAGATGTACCTGGTTCGCTCCTGTAGATCTTTCGCAGAGGGGCACCCTCGTTCAGCTCGCCATCCTTATCATGAATCGGTCATCCATGACGCTTGAATATGTGGTTGTTCTCAAAAGAAACAGAAATTACAGCATCATATTCTTGCGTCCTGAGATGGTAAAACTGGTTGCTGCTGAAATCTTAGTCCAGTCACCATGTGGTCACAATTGCGGAACTAAAGACCCAAAGTTCTTTTTCATAGCGGAATTTTTACTTGGATATATGCTGTAGTAACTCAAGGAGTTCTCCAAACCACGGTAAAGAGGCTGAAGCTATGCTATCATAAAACTGGGTGTTTGCGGGTATTTGATATACAAGCCTGCACCGAAATTCAATAAGAAAACCTCCCTTTTTCCCAAGTCACAAGAGACACATTATCTGACAACAAAATGTGCTCTTTCTATCCCAAGTGAGCCTGTCCTGATAAAGATCCCAACCTCTTGATATTTTTCCATCAGTCATTTTGGATTTTGGGGTTGGATTGCC